TCTTCCCTCCCTCTCCCCTCATTGAGAAGACAAGCAGTTTGATATAGGTTATATGTGTACAGTCATGCAAAACATATTTCCATTTTAGGTATGATGTGAAAGAAAACAGATTCCCCCCCCCCAAAAAAAACCAAACAAGGAAAATAAAATTTTTTAAAAGTGTGCTCTGATCTGCATTCAGACTTCTTTCTCTGGAGGTAGATAACATTTTCCATCATAAGTCCTTCAGAACTGCCTTGGATTGCTATATTGCTGAGAATAGCCAGGTCATTCACAGTTGATCATCATACAATATTTCTGTTACTGTTTACACTGTTCTCCTGGTTGTGCTCACTTCACTTCCTAGCAAGGATTTTTTTAAGGATAAGGGAGACTTGGGTGTGTTTGTAGGCAGCAGGAAAAGAGCCAATACAGAGAAATTGAACATTAGCGGGGACTAGGTATGATCATAGAGACAGTCTGCTAGAGGACAAAGATGGAATGTCTTGGCAAGGAGACAGCCTGCCTCTTCATCAGAGACTGGAATAAAGAAAGAAAGAATGGAGAATGGATTTAAGGGACCATGAGATGAGGAGAAGGGAAGGAGAGGAGCTCACAGGAAATGATTACAGTTATCTCCATAAAGTATGAGGCAAAGTCCTCAGCTGAGAGGCTGGGATGGGGAGGAGGAGTTATGAGAAAGTTGAGGAAAGAAGAGAAAGTTGGAATAACCATTGAAGTGAGTGGGATACTGAATCAATTTGGGAGGAGCAGAATTGCCTTGCTATAAGGAGGGCCCAGTTGAGATCAGATAACAGAAATTTGTTGTGACATCTGTGGGACCCCCTCCAGCTCTATTCAGTAGCAAATGAATAAAATCAAAGGAGGTAGTTGATGGGAATGACCCAGGGCTGGGGGTTGGCAGGGTCTGAATAGCTGTACAACAAAGAAGCAAGAGGTTAGAGAGTAGAGAATAGTGTAGAGTGGTTCTGATGCACTGAACGGTCAGTATTGGGAAGGAAGGGCAAAGTTGTTAGCCTAGGAAAAGCTAAGGGGTTTGAGTGAGATCAGTGAGAGGAGTGGAGGAGTGAGGAAGGAGGAGAGATGGAATGATAGGCAATTATTATCAGATAAAGGAAATTCAGAGTCCGTGATCATGGAAGCAGGGGTAGGTGGTGGCAAGATCAAGGGGTAACGGTTCCTGTGTGTAGATGGAGGTGGTGATGGGTGTACAGTAGATCAAGGGGCTGGGAGGTAAGTGTGTTAGAGGGAACATCAGTATGTATGGCGAATCCCCTAGTGTGAGGGCAACAGTTGGGAGTGAAGAAAAATGGCGAGCCAGCCACTGAACTCACTGCCTAAGGAAGAAGCATGTTGTAGGGGTCAGAAGGTAACAGTCATAAGGATCTAGGTTGAGAAATGAATTGAACAGTGTGAACCTCAAAGGAGTGATGGTGGTCAAGGGAGAGCCTGGAAGTGGCAATGGGGAGCAATGAATATTCCTACTCCCCCACCTTGAGTTAACTGGGGGAGAATGTGACCAATCTGGAAAGGAAGTCTGGGACTCATTGTCATAGATACAGGGTTCAAAGGGAACTTAGAGGGTCCAACACCCTCATTGTGTAGATGAGGGAAGTCTAAGACCCAGGAGGTGAAGTGTTTTGTCCAAGGTTATGAAAGTAGTGACAGTGAGGATTTGAACTTGGGCCCTGACTGCACATCTCCAGGGCGCTCTCCATGGCTCCACTCTGCATCTAGGAAACAAATAGAAGAGTTTTGAGGGAGTGTGTGTTTTACCGGGGGGGGGTGCAGCATGCACCTGGAGAAGTATGCCTCAGTGAATCTATGATTTCATCCCTTCTGTGGTGCACACAGCACCCCCTGGTTCTGGCATGTTATCCTGTGTGACACTGGAGTGAGAGGATCCAGGTTCAAACCCTGCCCCTTGGACATACTACTCTGGGCAAGTCACTTCCTCTCTCCCTCATTTTCCTCCTCTGTGAAAGGAGAGGCTGGATTCAGTGGCCTCTGTGGGCCTTTCTTGCTGTGGACTTGGGGTCCTGGGATTGTGTCAGGCCTCTGGGAGTCTCCCTTGAGACCTCTCAGCATCGCTTGCTCACCGGTGAAGCATGTGGGTGTGCTCTGTGATGTGTAGCTGTCCCTGCACAATTGACTCCGCTCTCCCCTTCTCTCACCTCCTTCCTCACTGTACATGTCAGGGTGGGCCAGAATCAGATGCAGGCGGCACCCTTCTCTGCCCTGGCTTGCTCAGAGGTCTCCAAGGGGGGAGTGGGGGGCAAACAAGGAAGTGGGTGGTGGGCAGTCAGGGAAGGCTTCCCATAGGAGGTGTTGTCTGAAGAGGTAAAGGGTAAGGAAGGAGGTTATTCCAGACAGGGAGGAAAAGGAGCCACTGTGATCCCACACTCTTCTAGGGGATCTCTTAGGACTGTAGAGCAGGGACAGGGAAGTCTTTGAAGGGTGCCATTTTCTTTGGCAGTCATTCATGGGCTTGCCTTGCCTGTGGAGGGAGGGAATCTGCTCCTCCTGAGATGCAAGGTCAAGGCGAAGCTGCTTTCCTCTCTGGGCCTCAGTTTCCTCAGCTGTCAAATGAGCTCTCGGTTCCCCTGGAGCTGTGACATTCGTTGACCAGATAAGCCTTTACTAAGCACCTCTACATCCATGAGGCACTGGGGAGACAGACATGCATGAAAAGCAGCCTTGTTCTCAAGGTGTTTCCATTCACCCTGCACAAGTAAATACATGCAGGTGTTGGTCAGGAGTAGTGATTGTGGTGCTTAGTGATCGCTTGGTGAGGAAAGTCCTCTCAATGCAGACTGACCCCTGTTGTGCTTGGAGAATTCCCTGGAACGTTCTGAAATGATTCGCCCAGAGTTCCACAGCCAGGATGTGCCGCTTGAACCCAGGTTTTCTTGGCTCTGAGGTCAGCTCTCCTGGACTAAGCAGGGCTGTCTCTTGCAAGCCTCATTAGAATGAAAGGAAAATGGAGGCAGGAGAGAGTCCTGCAACTGGGGAACAGGGAAGGCTTTGTAAAGGAGATAAACCACAAGGGAAGACCAAGATGCCTGGAGGAGAGAGTGCATTCCGGGCTTGTGTGACAGCTTGGGCAGTTGTATGGAGGTGGTAGATGGAGTAGCCTGTGGGGAGCAGATGGCAAGCAGAGCTAAGGCCGGAAGCTGTGTCTTCCCACGCCAACCCCCGTCCCCCAGCTGCCCCATCAAGCCCAGCGGAGCGCACGGAGAACTTGAAAGCAGGTCTTCAGGACTCCATTTACTACAGTGTGCTGCCTCGATGGCTGTGATGGGGAAAGGGAGGCCCAGAGAGGGGAGGAGGCTTGTCCCAGGTCTCCGAACTCTAGGTCTAGAGTTATTTCCATCATGCCACACTGGCCTCTAAACAGGTAGTTTGGAGCAGTGGAGTGATCCGGCCAGGACACACTCAGAACAAAGAGCCATTGTCTCCAGAGGATGCTGTTGTTACCGTTTTGAGCTGCCATGGTCCCCAGAGAGATTCCATCCAACCTCCCCTTCTCTCTACTCCCCACAAATGTTTTCCTGAAGCCCAGAGAGGCCAGAGACCTATGTGACCTTGGCCTAGCCCCTTCCTCCTTCTGGCCCTCAGTTTCCTCCCCTGTAAAGTGAGAGGGTTAATCTTAATGTCCTGTAGGCTCTCTTCTAGTTCCAAATCTTAGTCTCTCTACAGGATTCCTTCCTTGGGCCCCACTAAGATCCCTCCAGCTCCTCTGGGTCTGTTTTTACTTAGCAGCTGTGAGGAACATTGGCCCCTGACCAGTCCCTTCTTCCTGGGCTACTAGGATGTGTTTGGAGGGACTGAGGGAGGTGTCGGGACATGAGAGGAGGTGGCCTGTTTTCACTGTTGGCTTGGAGGGTGCTTGCGTCGGCACTGAGGGGGCCAGAATAGGGGGAGCAGCCTGCAGATGTCTAGATCTTTCAGGAAAGTCCTCCAGGTGGCCACTCTGGTTACTGCAGATCTGACTATGGCATTCCCCTCTTCAAGAAGCTTCCAGGGCTCCCTTTTGCCTAGAGAATAGATGTCTCTAAACTTTGTGTTGTTGAGTTGTTTCAGTCACGGCTGACTCTCTGTGACTCCATTTGGAGTTTCCTTGGCAAAGAGACTGGAGGAGTTTCATTTTACAGATGAGGAAACTGAGGCAAACAGGGTTAAATGACTTGCTCAGGGTCACATAGCCAGCAAGCGCCTGAGGCTGGATTTGAACTTGGGTCCTCCTGACTCCCAGGCTGGTGCTCTATCCACTGAGCCACCTAACATTCCCCTTTCCACATACACCAGGTAGGACACTGCCTAGTCAGACGCCCTCAGACAAATGGACGTCATTGTTGGAGGGAGGCTGTGTGTACTGGAGGCATCACTGGGAACTTGGGAGTGCTACATATGCGTTTATTCTTTCCCTGGCCAAGTCCGAGAGGTGTCCCACAGCAGGGGCCTTCCTAAGGGTGGAAGGGGGTGCATGGAGAGTGGAGCAGGACTGATGAAGGTCACGGCTCTAGAATTAACTGTCATCTAATTCTACGGGAGTGGAAACTGAGGCCCAGGGAAGGGCTCTCTAGCCACTACTCAGTTCCCTGACATGAAGCATTGTGGTTTGCAAGGGTCTTGTGTGCTGGGAGTGGGGGAGGTACAAAGTTGGATAGAGGCCAGGCTTTGCCCTCAAGGAGTGAAAATCAAATGTACGTGACTGTGACAGGAGGTGAAGAGGGGCTGAAGCAGAGGGCTTAGAAGCTGGAGGAGGAAGGAAGGACATTGAATGGAGAGGGAACTGTAGATGATGAGGATTAGGGTTGTGATGAGCAAGATTCCATTCTAGGATGAAGGGTGGCATGCACAAACTGACTGAGAGGGTGGGGGTGGGGGGAGGAGGGGCAGAGGGAGGTCCATTTTGTCTGGCATGGCTTTGCATCCAAGGAGGCTCAAGTGTCCCACCCCCAGCCCCTCACCACTCACCTCTTGAATCTCCTCTGCAGGTGGTTATGAGAAGTTTTCTTCTGAGTACCCAGAATTCTGTTCCCAAGCCAAGTCCCTGGCCACTGTTTCATCTCCTATTCCCACCACCATCCCAGAGCTTCCTGACCTGGGCTCCAGTTCCTGTGGCACCCCGTTGCATGACCAGGTACATTTGGGGGAGTCTAAAAGAGCCCCGGGATGAGGAGGGAAGGCTGGCTGCAGCCAGCTGTTCTTAGAGAGGTCCCTCCCAGGGGCCAATGGGGGCTGGAATTGGTAAGAGGACAACAGCTAAGGATCCCCACTCTGGGTCAGCCCAGATGTCTCCACAAAAATGACATGCATTTAAGGACCTAGGATTTCCTCAGTGGGGGCCTCCTGCTGCTGGAGCAGTGTGGCCCCTCTGTACCTCACTATAGAACCTCTCCACACTTCTCTTAATAAATGCTTTTCTATCCATCCATCCATCCGTCCATCCATCCATCCATCCATCCATCCATCCATCCATCCATCTATCCATCCACCCACCCACCCATCCATCCACCCATCCACCCATCCATCCATCCACCC